AGGTGATACAGTTCACACAGGAACCAAAAACAAAACAACAAAAACAAAAACAAAATAAAAAAAACAACAGCAACAATGATCAGAAAATTGGTCAGAAATTCAACTCTCGACGCGGGATTTTGTGTGTCCGGCTACTCGGAAAATAATACTTAACACGCTTGAGCTAGCAAATTGGCGCTTAAGTAGAGCACTCTTTAAAAATAAAATATATCCCAATCAACATTACACGAAGTCGTTTCTAAAGTTAACATCACGGTATTAACGACATTAACGTCTTAGTATTTAGTATGGGCCATCGTAAAATGCTTACATATCTTAAGAACTTTGCGCAGAGAATGTTACAATGAATCCCATGTTAATCATTTATTAAAAACTCTGGTTCCGCCAAATTTTCTACACGCTTTAACTGTAGGTGCCTCGGAATCTGACCTCTCCACATATTTATTTAGTAGGTGATTTTTAATTATCCAGGGGCGTCCAGGAGTCTAAATGAAAATACCTCTGAAACATTGATGACATTCCCCTAATGTCTCCGTGTTTTTCTCTTTCATCTAAAAGTTGAAAAGTCAAACAATCTTTCTTCAATTGTTTTATTTTTTACTTATTTGATAGGACATAACATCTAATTCAACCATGGAAAGTTAGAAGTTAATTTCTCCGTACACAAAGCTAGGTAAATCTCTAAATACGAATTTGACAAAATGTCCAATTTTTCTCATGGAAGTGATTCGAGTTAAATTGAAACTTCCCTTTAACTCATAAGTTCAGCTTTGTTTTATTTTTCTCTATTACACGTATTTGGTTTGTTAAGTGAAAAGATTAGGGGGATTGATAAAATAGCCGATTCCTGTTCTGTGTTGTGCCGAGCGATGATTACACAGGTCTCTGGGAGAAATATATCTTATTACACGTTTTGGTGTATAGTATCGCTGAGAATTTTTATGAGTTGTGCCGTATTTTGACGAGCCTGCAGGTCAAAAAACAAAAAATCGAGTGGGATATCAGGAATTACATATCAGGAATGTAATGTACCTAGAAAACACAGAAAGTTTGAGTCTCCTCCCTTCTTTCAGTAGCCATTTCCGTTTTAGTAGTGTGTCTCATTGAAGTCGGAAGGTCATCTATATCTCTGCACGCAAGGCTCCTTCAATAATTTGTTTCTTCTGGGGGATGAAATATACCTTTAAATATGCCTTATTAGGCGTTTTGGGATGTAGTACCGCTAAGTATTTTTACGCGTTGTACCGTATTTTGACTCGTCCTATGGGTAAAGAATGAGGATAAATATTGAACACACTACACACCAAAACTTCTAACAATTTATTCATTATCCAACTACTTTTTTTTTCTGCCAAGTCTTTCTGTTCATTTCTCATATGGTAGAAAATTGAAGCGGATAGAGAAGCGTAGCATGCGCTGCCGACTGGTTATAATTAAACAAGCTTTTTTACAGAACAAAAGAACAAACTGTCCATATAACCGTGCAATATTGCAAAATGTTTGTGCTCTATTCGCGTGCTATTTGTACTCTACTTTGTGCAGTTGGATGATAAAAGCCTAATATGCTATGTCCATTTTGCTTTCAAGCTCGAAGGTCTTATAATTTTCTGCACGCAAGGTTCAGTTTCCTTTATTTATTTATTTATTTATTTATTTTTCAGATACAAACTGAATCTGTAGCTCCCGTTGCGTGCCTGCATTTTGACGTCAACATCTGGGACATCGGCCATGTGCTTTGCCGAAAAAGAGCTTGTCGCCGTATTTGTACTGGTATATTTTGCTACCTAAAATTGTTGAGTTATGGTCAATAATGGTCTTAACTCGAAACAGTCGGTAAGTTCTATCGTATTTCGTGTGTATTGCAATTTCGCTCGCCTAAGTTGTAATTTCTGTTCGTAGAACCGGACCGCTCTTACAGAGACACTCTCTTACGTGTCTTTCTGAATTAAACATGTCTCCCGCATTAAAATCGGAACAAAAAGAAGCAATTTCTGGACAGGTTCTGGAAAGAATCTACTTGACGTGTTGCCAAATGGCCTTGGGAAAAGCCTGAAACTTTAGGAGTTGGTTCGTACAAAGGAAATTATAAAGGGAAGCCTTTGAGCATAGTTCTCCTTTATCCGCTTCAACGTATTGGTTATGATCAAGTGGAAGAAGCATCATTGATCGGATTAACGTTAGTTACGCCCACGGATTGTCGCATGGAGGACATAGAGAGTGGAATATATATACTCGTATTTGCGTCAGCAGAGAACGCTTCGGTGAAGCCATTTTTTTTCGTTGCTGAAAAAAAAGCCACACCATTTCACCAGAGTATGCTGGTTTGCATCAAACTGATTATGGCGTGTAAATTTCGAGTGCTGTTGTTTGTGCTTCAAAGTATCGTATAGTATCGTGCCCTCAAAGGCACCTGAATCATCAGGGTCGACTGTGTAGACACTGCTGGTTCGGCTGTTCCTCTCACCCAATTTGTACAGCTGAGCACAGCTTTTTGCTGAAATTAAAAACTTGTTAGAAGTTTCATGAGCTGAGTTAGTCATGCACGTGCTGCACGGAATAATCGAAGAAAAAAAAAAAAAAGAGGTTAGGGGAGAGGAGATAAAATAAAATCGTGCTTTAGCCGGCGTTTTTTTTTAAGCTTAAGAGCATTGGTGGGTTGTTAATCCCCCTTAGGAGGTTATCATAAATCAAACAATACAGTCCTAGTTTTTTGTACGGAGGACGCCCATAACAATGTTCTATTTTAACATTCATATTATGGCGTATCAATCTGACTGATATCACCGTTGAACGATTTAATTAACAATAAGTTGTCATCGTCAGAAAAGTGGATCCAAAATCGGTGGCCTCGTCAAATGAGCTGTTAATCCTCTAGCCGCATCGAGACGTGTTTGATCCTCAAAACCGGTCAGAGTTCCAAATTAAAAAAATTAACAAATATAGCCTCAAAATCGTCTTATATTGCTCTTTATCGAATGGATATATGAAAGGTTTGTTACGCTTTCATATGATTAGAAAACAGAAATTTGAAGTCGCATCTGCCCAGATCATTAACTCAATAACATACAATACGGCGTCGCAAAAAGCAACTGAACAAAATTCGCAAAACCGAACCGAAATTTGTTTGTTTCATGCCAGGCAAAGCATTGAAAAAACATCGGAAATGTATGATCATAACTAGGCAGTTGTGCATTCTAAGAAAGTGTTACTCCACGAAAATGTTGATTCGACTTTTCTGGCAATGAGTTACGAAATGAGCAATGTTCTTTTCATTGTGCTTCATTGATTTGTGGAGATTTCATTATCAGAGATCTCGCCTTTAACCACAAAGTACACATTTAGTACAGTTTCGCGAGTGGATGTGTGTTCTATCGTCCCAAAAAACATTTACCTGCAACGTTCAAATTCTCATATTAAGTCCTTCTGATGCAATACGGATTGTGGTTTACGGAGATAAGTCACGGAAACGCCCAGGAAAAGGCACAGCAGCTTCCTAATTAACAGTGGTCACACGAATTAATTTTTTCGATATAAGAAAGTGAAGGGATAAAACATACATTTGAGTCGAGAGGTTACATAAAAGTAGGTAGAAACTTATTATTAACACAAGATGTATCGTCCCTTTCTCCTAAAAGGTGGAGGTCTATTTCCTGAGCACGCAAAGCTCCTTGAAAGTTAAGTCATGTGAAAGTTTTAGCGACATTTTCAGAGTAAACAGGATAACGTAGTATTAAAAAGGCCTAAAAAAATTCTTGGTTGTTAGCTCAGTTGGCAAAGCACTGCGCCGTCATCGCAGAGGTCATGGGGTCAAATCCCGTACAGGCCTTATTTTCACTACTGCTTTTAAACAGTAAAAAACACTAGAACACTACTTAAAAGTAGTGTACAGTACTGCGAAGATGCATCCAAGTTCATTTCTAAAACCGCAGTTGCACATATGATTTCATATATTTACAGGTGTTTAACAGACGGAGTTTTGCTTTAGGACCAAACAGTTTAAACACTTAAACTGTTAACTGGGGTGTTAGGATTTAAGGTGTTGCGCTGTTACCGAGTTTTTTATACGGTTTTTCGCAATAGAGTCTCAGGACCTGTATGTCGTTTCTTGTATTGTGAGTTAATCTCAGACTAATCGTCACCATGGAAACCACATCCAAATGATCCGTGAAACTGATTTGTAATCCCTTTCAGATTTGTGAGGAGGTGTGGATTTTAGGGAGGGATTCTTTACTTTGTCGAGTATATTCAACCTGCTACGTGTCACTGACCCAGTCATAAATTCTTAATTCAATTTTTTTCCCACGGAGTTTATTGTGATCGTCTTACTGATCCGTTTACAAAAGGATATTTAAGTTATTTATTTGTTCAAGTCCCTTTTTCGTGAGACACGCCGATGACCCAAAATTCCAGAAAAGGATAAGAAACCGCTCGAAAAGATATAAATACACGATTATGACCTTTCAGTTTCTGCAGTTGTTTGCACATGTTGTGTTGCTTTACAACCTGTATCTTTATAAACTACTTGGAGTGAGCCAGTGCATCCCATAATGAAGTCCTTACAAATAACTAATAATTTGCTGCTCGTGACTCTTTTTGCGTTGATTCAAAAATTAGCAACAACGAGTACCGCTCCGATGGACCACAAAAATAGACCTGGAAACTGCTTGAAACAAGGTAAGAGAGTAAGGTAGTGGCTTTTTACAGAGAGAAAACTTTTTTCTTTTGTGAAAACGTTTAATGCCTTTGCCACTCATGAGAAAAAAGAGGTTTATTCGCAAATTCCGTGAAATGGACAGAGATTTATCATATATGTTATTTTTCTAAACCTCAGAGACTGGAACGGGAATTTAAAACACACTTTTCGACATTGCATCCTTCTTTTCCTTATCTCCGCCCGTTTACTTTCCCTCCCCCCTCACTTCTCTCTCTTTCACGCTTTGCCTGTTATTTTCAAAGTACTATAATGAACCTCTCGTCACTTTACCTTTACACTACACACTTTAATTTCAACAGCTAAGGATTGTGCTGAGCTGTACAAATGCGGAGAAAAAATCAGCGGCGTTTACTCAATAGACCCTGATGGTTTAGGTCCCTTTAAAGTGTATTGTGACCAGACAACAGCGGGTGGGGGATGGACAGTGTTTCAGAGGAGACTGGATGGTTGCTTGGATTTTAACCGCGATTGGGCTGACTACAAGCATGGCTTTGGTAATTTTCTTATTGGTGAATATTGGCTCGGATTGGACAAGATTTATCGTCTGACGCAAAATGAGACGGAAAACAGACTTCGAGTAGATCTGGGAAGAGTTAAAAACAATGCGGTCTACGCTGAATATTCGTGGTTCAAGATCGGAGACGAGAAAGCCATGTACCAGCTAAACCTTGGAAATATTGCAAGTAAGTCAATTAGCTTCCTTAAGGCAATTATGTCAACTGCAGCCATGACAACATCCTCAATAACTAGCATTTACGGCACATGCATGTCTCCCAAACGACTGTATTGCGCTTCTTTATTTAAAAAGAGCTTCATACTTCAACATTCGTCGAGATAGGAACCAGTCGGGAAGTCTATAGAGCACGAAAGATGCGTAAGAGTCGCTCGATTCGAAGCTGAGTGCAACTCGAGCTTCATCATCAATTTCGTCATTCTCGAACTTATATCGATATTAATAACTATACCATCACTTAATGATTAAATGGTATCATAATTTGTTCTTGATATCATTATCGTCGTCTTCTTCATCCTAATTACTATTATGTCATTATTATTATTTTAATATTATTACTATCAATATCATCGTTGTTGTTGTTATTGTTGGTAGATGCGACTGTCCATGACTCTCTCAAGTATCATAATGGCTCGTCGTTTGGTACCCGGGATAAAGTTAATGAACACTGTGTCCATAATATATCGGGAGGCTGGTGGTACGTCAAAAGTACTGAGTGTGCTGTGTTGTCAAATCTCAATGGTGCTCATCAGCATTGTGGAAAGGAGAACAAGACCACAGCCAGGGTCTGGGCTAAGCAAAAGATCCATTGGGGTAAGTTAGCTGCCACTGCAGAAGAAACCGCTCCAACGACATCTGAAATGAAAATTAAAACTGTGGACTTTCCTTAACTCTTTCTTTCATACATGTAATGGTCCACTTACATCTATTCGATTACTTCATGAACAAAATGCGATCATTAGACCGATTGTTTATATCAGTTGCAAGGAGAGATCTAGCAATAAAATGTTTAGAACACAATCCGTTCAGTTATTTGCTTTGTGTAACTTAATATAAATAAACCCAAAGAAAAATATTAGTACGCTTGTCAAGGATACTGTTTTGATTGAACCAGATTTTACGAGAAATATTTATACCACAGGGCCTGGCGTCTGTGTAAACTGCTTGCGTGGAAAGCTGGCAGGATAAGTGCGGAATGGTTTATCAAACTAATTGCATTCAATTAAAGAAAAGCATGCTATTTTTGTCCTAGTTTTGCTTTTGTATGTTTGGCTTTATCGTAGAATTAGTCAGATGGAACCCTACAAGGGTATAATTTTTAGAGCGAATATGTCAGATTATGTATAATTTTATGGTTGCTCTAAGGCCATAACTGACACGAAGCTTAAAATATGCAAAGAGCTGGGTATAGAATCAAATCTGGATAGCCTTAGCTGTTTCGAAAGTGTGCTGCATGACGAACGGATGGATCGACTTGATATTGAATACATAAGAATCGAGATTGACAGTTACACAGACAACGAAAACGGAAAAAGAAGGATGAAAGAAAACTGCAACAGTGCAAATCCCTATGAATAAAATTTACTTCGTTTCAGAGAAGGCAGTGTCCAGTATTGCGGACGTGCTCTGAAACGGCGGAAGTCTGCATTTTGTCTGTGCTTTAGCGAGTCGGATATCAAGATTATGATACTTGATTATCTCCCCTACAGATCACTAAACCCAAACGAATTCGATTGTGTTCAATTGATCGGGCGTTAGATAAGATCTTATTGCTTTTTGTTTTTTTTTTGGTTTTTTTTTTGACAACTGTGAAGACAAGTTCTTAGTCAAAGCGGAAAACTTCGCCAGATAAGATTACTTTTGCGTGGGTATTATTTCATGCTTCATTCTTTCTTGCCGATTATACATGAAGATAGTAGTTTCATCCTCTTCATTAGACGTTTGACTAACTATTGGCATAAAAATAACAGTATTATTTCCTCTAAGTACACTCGTTAATTGCACCAACATTTAAGTTTCAAGTGTGCGTTTGCCTCTGGTAACACTCAAGATCTGGTTGGCACGAATGTCCTCGAATTCAGTTAACATTTGCGTAAATATTTCACTAATAACCGAAAGTTTCACCCCATAGCTCTCTACAACCACTGTGAGTTTTCCCTCGGAAGAAAACTAGTTCTTTCCCACTTTAACATTTCCCTCTTACAAATTTCATCTCCTTTTCTTTTGGTTGAACTTTAATAAATCGATTGCTTCTTCTGGTGTTATGTTTATTGTAAAAGCAACGCTGCCTCTATCCACAACACGAGATCGAACATAGGAAATCTGTTGGTTTGAAGCGATGTAATTTTTAAAATCCACAATCCTTTTTTAAAACAAAAAAATCCATTAGTGCACAAATATTAGTTTATTTTCTTTGTGTGATGATTAGCTTTCAATACTACTTGTCAAAAAAGCACTTCTCCTCTTAACTTTCCACCCTAACTAAATACACTTAGCAGTCTTCAGGAGATTCTATAGAGAATATCTAAGACTCGTTAAAACATGGTGCATCACAAAGCGATTTGAGTTATTGAAACTTTATGTGAATATAAGCGAAAAAATTGTGTCAAACCGAACAAAACGCGGAGAAAAATTGCCAATTAGCAACAATACAACACTGACCAACGACAGAAGTATCGATATTTGTTTTCAGAAAGAAGAGCTTTATAGCTTAGGGGGTTAAATACTTTAAATTCAAGGTTCATTTAATTATAGAATTTCGTGTCTAGGTATTTACTTTATGATTGGGGAGGATTGCGAGATCATTACAATTTAAACAGAACAGCGTCCAGTACTCGAGCCCACAAGACCTCCTGCTATACTACGGCGAGCTGTTTACGGTATTCAAAGGTGCTTCCATGAGTGAAATTTTTCGAAAAAGTGGAATATGTCGTAATTGAACGTCACCGCAACCGGGCTCCAGTGGTTACCCAACCTTAAGAACATACCTAAGAACATCCCTCAAAACTAATCGCACTTAAGAGCAATATTTGAGGAGCCACCTTGTCATCATGACGCAAAGTATCCTGATTAGAGTTTAACTTTGAAGACCGTACATGTGGGACTTGGGAAAGAGACCCTGGTGATGGGAAGTACAACGACACACGCTAGGGAGGCTGATGGTATGGTAAAAATACGCGGTAACGTGAAACATCAATGGTGTTCATCCGCGTAGAGGAACAGAAACTCCCTTGAGCCGCATCTACTGGGACTTTTTAGGAGGCACTCCCAGCGCAAGTGCTCCTGCAAACACTGAATTGAACAGTGGATTTCAATTAATTCGGTCCAAAAATAACAAGAAAGATAATAATACGAGCTATGATAAATAGCGTAGACACTGATCTCTTGGCTGAGCGAAGATAAATTTAAAAAAAATAAAAATAAAAGAATAAAGATTTACAATCGTAGGAAGACTGCCTTCCAAGAGGGATCATTTTTGCTTTGTTTTAATTTGTCTTTCTTTAGAAGACGACCTATTCTGAAACAAGGCGTAATTGCGCTACAATTATGGCAGGGTATATCGAAGAAAATCAGCCTTTATTACTTAAAACGAGCTCCGATTTATTTCTCATTTACGAATGGTTTTATTTTCATACATCCCCATGGTAAAAAGATTTAAGTAAAACAAATATCACAGTCAGGTTATAACTGGTAGGCACGACATTATCCCTTACCATTGTCTCCTGGTGTTTCATAATTGTTTAGGGCTACATAAAAACAGACATGATTTTGAGTTGAAAAAAACGTCCTTTTAAGAGTACAGTTTGTGAAAGTGCCTCTGGTCATTGACAAAAAAAAGTCAATTTACAGTTGGAATAAATACATGTAGAAAAAGAGCTTGATAAGAGTTACTTATTTCTGTATGGTTTGATGAAATCTGCAGCAAAGACCTATATTAACTCAGTTTGTGGCCCACCGTTTATATTCGTGTGATGCTGTTGTGTACCTTTAATCATGTGGTGGACAATAGGCGGACAGCTGCTGCTTTTTTCGTAATTTTTTCGTTGAACAAATTCCCTGATTACGGTTCAGAGAATGATCTGACTGTTTCAGAGTATTTAAATTCCCTTTTATACTACACACTGCTATTTGTTTCAGTTCACACATGAACTTAAGAAGTCTCCTAACCCAAGAGTAACTCCTCTACAACATTTCTGAAAACAGTCACGCGATTGATTTATAATCTGAGAGAAGAACAAGGCACCTTTGTTACAGTCAAATAATACAACTGTTCTAAAAGAATGTTTAACCACAAAAGCTACCAATCTAAGCCGTAACGATACATCAAATGAAACCCGATAAGTGAAAACTGTCAGAGAAAGATAGGACACAACTGCACAAATTTGTCTAGAGAAGAAAAATTTTCAATTAAATGACAGTGCATAATTTGTCTCGGAGTAAAATCCTTACTTTACTTTCCTTGGGTGGTATGAACATAAACCGCAAGTACAGGAGGCCTAATCTCGTATAAATTTTGTAAGCATTGCGAATTATCAATATCACGCAAGGTTTTTTCTGTTTTAGTATTTCGCGTTTTCCATAAAATTCAATAAGCTCTTATGCTAAGCAATATCAGAAAGGCATCAGTATACTGCTGATTGACTGAATATTCAAATTGTGCGTTTGGACTGCTTTTACCGAAGCTGTTGGTTAAGCGGTGTTGGTCGCGCATGCACTATGACCTTTTCGCAACAAAATATTACTGATTGACGTGTATGCCATCTCGACAATTTCCATTGGTTTTAGAACTCCAGAAACATTAACGTAAACTCCGGGCTCTCCAAACATATTTTGCACCTTTTTGCTGTCTTAACGTAGAAGGTTTAACCGAAAACTCTATCGAAATGTCCTCAGCCGTTGTCTTTTTTCGACCTAGGAAGACAATCAGCTATTTAAAATGTTTGTTCACCACATCCGGCGTCACTTGGGATTCAGATTTAGGGGGGTTGTTGATCTCAAAATTTATAAAGAAAAACCTTTCTCCACGCCACCCTTTGAATAACTCGAGGTGGTGTTACTACTGAGCGCTTCCCGACAGGGATTTGTGTTCAGCTCAACAAATTCCTCGATCCTCTATACCGTACTCAGACAATAAGGTAGTTTCACTGCTCTTCTTTCGATATCAGGCGTTCATTACATAATCGGCAGATAGTTGTTTCTGGAAAAAGGCGAACTCGAATGATCGCAAAAAGTCGTATTGAAAATTTTAATCTTCCTTATCAATTTTCGATGATTTGCCACCATGATATTCCTTTAGGGGAACAACTCTGAGAGCCAAGAGGATTTGATCTACCGCAGCTGTCACTAAAGTTATAGTTTAAGTCTGATAAAAAATCGACTCGCCATTGGTCGCGCGTAAAGAAAAGTAGCAGAATCTGGTACATACCATCACTAACAAAAAGTCGATTTGAAAAAACGGAGTCATTTGTAATTACAGAATGCAATTGCAAATGAATCCTGATTACAGCTAGTTAGGGATCAAATTTTTACGGAATTTTCCAAGATTGTTGTTCTCTGGGCGAGCGCGGTTAAAACCACGCGAAGCTGGGTAAAATAAAGGCAAACGAAGCGAATATGTGAAATCTATCCTCAAAAAGAAGTTATCTAGCTCGAACGGGATCACGCCAACGCCTTTACCTTTTCTTAGGATATGGTGTGTTCTGGATCACTTATCGATATTTTTTCAATGGTGTTTGACATTAATTGTTCCGTATGCTTCCAGAATGTTTAAGAATACTTTGTTACTGCATTTCAAGGCTCACCAAGTTAGGTTAAATTTCCCACCAAGTCAGGTCAAATTTCCTACGCGATGGGGTGTTGCTGTAACTCTAGTCCTATTGCCTTACAAATT